CCGTTGAATTTATTATATGTAAGACATCCCGTATAAAGCAATTAAGGTTTCCTTAATGTCTTGTCCGGCATACTCCATACTTTGCTTTTCCAGCACCGGTTCGCAGGATTGGATACTCAAAGGACACTAACGACATTAGGCTGGCACATTTAGGAACAAACTACTATACGTTAATGCATCGCAAATTTAGTAATTACATTTTTGCAATTAATAGGAGCGTGTATCAATCCCGAAAAACCGTGTCTGTAAAATAATGTCTTCCCGACATCCTTAATCAAAATCACTATACCTTTTGTTTCGAGGTGGTTTTCCCTCTTTCTACCCGCCGTCGTTACTACTCAATTTCCGGGCGTTCTTCCATTGTGCTAGGCACTGGTAATTAGTAAGTCGTTGGCGATTAACCACGACGGACTCGTTCGTTTTAATGCCATTATGATTATCCTCGACAGCCGAGGATGAGGCAGTCCTGTGGGCTTGTCAAAACAACGGAACGAACGTTTTATTGATGTTCCATTTATTTAATATCGAATTTCCACCCTAGCGCTGCTAATTTTACGTTCGTCGCGAATAAACGTGGTTGGTATTAAACGAGAATTTTTATCCTTTTCGTAATCTTCATCAAAATTCATCGCGTTGCGTACAAGTATACGGAATTCAAGTCCTCACCTACACAAGTCTCCTCGTTCTTTCAAAAAAAACCTTAATCACTGGTTGGAGACAACTTATAATTTCACCATTAATAAAAGAAACCACGCGTCGTCCGCGAAACTTGTTTGATCCTCGCTTAGCGCGTTTTATCCCCGGAAACGACGTCGACGCAGTGGCGTACACGAAACCATTTCTTTCCCATCCAATCTCCGATAAATAATAAATCTCTAACTGCGGGCATCTCACCTCTGTTACGAGCGCTTTACTAACGCTTTTAAAACGTAAATAACATCGAAGGGGAGATATTAAAATGCGCAAATTGCGGTGTGGTTCCCGTCACTGGCGTAATCCGAGGGAACTATCTCGAAACTTTGCGCGAAAACTAAGTTTTCCAAAATCCATACGAGTAAACATCTTCGGTCGGGATGTTTCACACAACGTTTAATTCCGTCGAGAAAGTAAATGAAGCAGACTTTCTGATTATCAATACACGATGTGTGTAGCGAACGGTTGGGTGTCTACGCGATGAGCGAAATCTTAAAAGTTTTGGGTGGAAATTCCAAACTTGCGGTTCATCGGATTCAAATGGAAATATTGTGTTCGAGAAACGAGAGGAAAAAATCGTATTAGAGACGAGCTATTTTTCGGAACAACAACGACCTAAAAGGGTTAAATTTCGCATTCTCGAACTGTCCCTATCCCAACTTTCCAGTCTCCAACGCCCGACAGCTGGATAACCTCCTGGACTTTTCGAGCTCCCTCGTTCTGTACATTACAAGTTTGATGAATAGGTGTTTTCGCATTCGCCTCGTATCTCGTCCTCGATTGTTTAGGTAACTAATATTCAATTTTGGCGGCGTTTCTTTCGCTTATCGCGTCGCCTTTTCGGGGTCTAACAGTCTGTGCCATCTAGACGTCGGTGATTTTACATTATTCATGAATAGTCCACGCTCCGGCTCATATCAAGGACCTCGTAAGGACGCGGCAGGAAGGATGTCGATCATCAATCATGCGACGTTGCGACTGCATTCGAGCACCGCTCGCTTTAAGGCTCAGTGGTTACGAAACTGCGCAATGGAAATTATATTCTCGTGTCGCCAGTTTGGGAGAAAAAAAAAAGAGAAATTTTTTAAAGTCGTTGAGCCTTATTGGAGCTTATTTAGTAAAGTTGTGTAGGCGGTAAGCGAAGAATAAAAACTCTCAAAATCGAATTTGATCGGTAGAATGCATGTAAATCTAGGGAGAATAAATAACATAGCGCGTGCATAAGATGCAATAATTATATACAAAGTGTGAAATAAAAAAGAGCGATTGACCGATCGTTAAAATGTTTATCGATATTAAATGTTATTTACGATTCGGCGACATCCGAAAGTACAATATAAAATCGCTCGTAAAAATCGCGATATAAATTTTATGCCCCCTCGAAGGCTGCTACAACAGTAACAGAAAAATGCATACCGGGTGTGATTGTTCCTACTTTACATCGAAAAGGCATTCCAGAAGTTATTAGACAAGTTTTTAACGCCTCCATCGAAAACTCCTTGCAAATTCGAGCGCTCATTTTATTGTTGAATTACAAAATTAGTAACTCGCGTCTATTCTAAAACGACCTTTTCGACGCATATACATTCGCACCGAACGAAATGAAATACCGTTCCTCCCGAAAACATCCCCAATCTCCTGCAGATATATGCCCCCCCAAAAAACAATAAACATCTTCAGCGATTATAAGATACACACGCCCTGGCAACTGATACTCCGCTCCCCTTTTCACGTGTTAAGCTCTTAATGAGTACTTTGATATATTCACTTCTTCGATGAGCGAGAAGTACATTAAATTATAGAGGATGTCTCCTTAAAAAATTAACAACGAAATTTATTGTAAGCCAAAAAATTTATCAGCAATATAAGGTTCTATAAATTAAATATTTTACAAGGCATTATTTGTTAGAATGTGTTGTAGTATATTAATAAATGATTATTAATTGAGGAGGTTAATGAGTGGTATTTTGAAAATGTGGTAGGACAACCGGTAGGAAAAATGTTTGTTAAAATTTTAGCCCCCGAGTAAAATTTACGGTTGGGAGAAAGCGAGAGAAAGAGAGTTATACGAGAACTCGACTAGGAAGTAAATTAATGTATAACAAAATATTTTAGCTATGAACTTATAACTTTCGCAACATTAATTAGGAACTATTAAAACAACTCGGCGTCCGGATTGTATTTCTATATTTAGAAATTTAATAATAATATACGAGCCTAACGAAAATTAAGCGCCCAAAAGTCGCGAGATGATGAGCGCTCCATATAAAAGGAAATTAGGAGTTCACTTTTGAACTTTCCACCTTTCAGTTTGATTTAAAGCAATTAATTACCGCAAATTCGAGTCGATACATTCTCCAATAAGTTTGGTTACGTCAGATACGAATCAGTTTCCGATTGAAAATCGATGAATATTTTTTTCTGCTACAAACAACAATCTCATATTTTCGGGGACAAACAAAAAAAAAAAAAAACTTTAACTATAACCGTTACGGGAAACAAGGTTCGGAAAGTAAACACATTTGGGGAACGTCGATCAGTCAATAACCGTTTATAAGGGCTTAAAAAGGGAATATATACCCGGAGCTAAACAAAAATTGTTCCCAAACTATAGTTTACCGCGAAAATGTAAAGCGAATCCGTCTTGTTCGCGAGAGTTCGCTTACATATCGTAAATCCACACGCTAAAGATCGCGAACCGGTTTTCGAGCAGTCCATAAAATTTTCATTACCCATAAAATGATTCATACGCCCCCGGATTAACGGCCACAATTATTCCAAGATTTGTCTTAACCCTCGTTTGATAGACGCCAATATGTTTCACCGCAAGTTAATGGAGTGTAAAACGCCACTTATAAATATATGCATTTCGTTTTCTACCACAAAAACTAGCAGACTTTAATATTTCCATCACTTAACAACCTTGAATTTATTCATTGCTAGTTTTGTATGATTAAAAAAAACGTATGTGAGGATTTAAAATTCTAAAAGCGGCTGAGCCAGGTTCCATTTTAATCCGGACGGGATCTCGCATTGACGTTTCGTTTAATTTAGTTTCGAAACTAAAACTGGCATTGTAACTTATCTGGAAAGTCTTTTGTGTACGAACGAATTTATACGCTATTCTTGTATTTCGGTATAAACTCGACTGTCACACACTTTAAACAAAAAGTCCTTATCGGGTGATGCAAAATGAACTTTCCCGACAGTTATTAAAATGTGACGCGATTCGTACCGATCGGATTAATCTACATTTAGTTTTTCAATTATATTTTTCTCGCATCGTCCAGCACAAATTATTTATAAGGCAACATAAATATTTAAGAGGCCAATAAATGTTGGTCAATCGATACATCCCATTCTGCCGGGCTTATAAAAAAATATATCAATTGGATTCAATTTATGACATCGATACATGTTTTTAAATGTTTCGACCGAAATGTAATTCGTCGGCGATAAGAGGGTCGCAGCAATAAAAATCATGTTCGAACGGGGACTTTATCTTGTCCGAAAGGACGTCCGATAACAATAAAACGTAACGGCTTTATTTTTACGGTCGTTTGCGATTTTTGGATTTTTCCACCGACCTAGTGGAGAAAAAAGTTTCCGTCGTCGATAAATTTCGATGATATTCGACGAGTTGGCGCGGTCTGGTAGGATCGCAAAGGTGACTGTTGAGCGTTAGCTCGTCTCCGTTGGGGTAATCTGTGGTGACAGCTCGGATCGTGACCAGAAAACGGCATTTTCGCCTGCAGTTAACAAATTCCGGCCTGTTCGTATGTCATCGAATTAGGGGGATTATTTGTATCGTCTTATCTAATCAAACGAATATGAGAATATAAGACGCTGAATGTTTTTGATTAGATCCTGTATAATCGGCAATAACGACATGTAAGAAATGGGAAAAATAAATCTATAACTGCGTATAGAAATATGCGGAAAAATATTTCTAACTTTGTTAGTTTTTACGTTAGAATTACCGTTCGAATTCGTAATTTGGCAACATCCTGTATGTGGTGAACATGAAAAACGGTCGGACGAATGATTTTTTGCATCGAGGCATTCCGACTCCCACCTCAAATTCGAAAATTCCTCTCAAACATTTCCAACGATCCAACTTTCCCAACAAATTTTAATGCTGGAAAAAGTTTTCCAAACTTTCCGAGGGGTCGATTAACTCCGGCTCCGAGCCCCACAGAAACACTTTCGACATCGGAAAATCGGTTTTTGCCGGTATACAGGGCATTCCTCGATTGCCCGTCGGTGATTAGAAACGAGATTGTTGCAAAAAAATAGCTAATGCAAAAATGTGCGTGTGCAGTGAAATAGGCGGCGTGTGCAAAGAATACTCCCACGACGCCCGGAACAGGTTCATACTGGTTAAATCGACGCCAATACGGCCGTGGGGGCGGCGTCTCCGTCGCGACGACGCCACGGAAAAAAATCCCCTGACCAGATACCGGACAGGTGAGTGAAAATCACGTATCGCAAGTGGGATTTCGGTCCGGGATCAGAAGTGGGATTTTATCGGAATTGATATGCAATCACGCGTTGGTAGCGCACGTGTCCAGAACACACTATTCAAAGTTTGGGGAGAGTTTCGGGAAAGTTTTCGGGGAGTTCAATTTCTGAAGTTCGAGAGTTGAAAATGGATTTAACTAGGTATTTGTTTTAGGAGTTTCGAACGATACTGATGTCGATGGATTCGCTCGATGTTAAACAGGATTTCCTTTATATGTGTTCTATGATTTAACGATTATTTTTTATTGCGCGATATTTTTTTAATTAATACCTAGAAAATTTACTAATTAAAAAAAAATCGTGAATTTACACCATTGCACTAAATATTTAAACAAATCCAAGTAGGGTAGATTTTCCGCTACAAGATTTTCCCCTGGCCGTAAAAAGGCATTTGCATGCATTACCGGACTCCATCTTGATTAAGACACCTTGGAGATTGTCCTTATGGCCGTCCTAGGGATAAAGGAGGGGCATTAGATTCGTTAAAGGCGCCCTTACAGGGCTTTTCGCCTCGTTCTGAGAACATTTAAAACACTTCTAGGACAGACGAAAAAAGAGTCGTTCGTGTTTTTTATTGCAACGGCCTAAACAAAAGACCGTTTAAAGGGGGGCAATTTAAAAAAAAACGGGTTGTAGGGCTTTCTTAGAAGCTTTTTACTGGAAGGGTTTTTTTTGTTTTATAGCATCTTTTATCGTACCTAATCAGAATGCTTGGAATTCAAATTGCTGTTAAGTTGACTTAAATGTTTTAAGTACATACAAGTGTTAATTCCTCGTTATGATTAAATTTGAACGAATTACTTAAACTCATCAATATTTACACCTTATTGGTCTTTCTTTATTTTACCGCATCGATTCGAGGCGGTTGCCAAAGTCATTAACGTGAGGTCGAAGATGCAGCGTCGGCCAAAAGTAATAAAAAAGAAATATCGTAAAATTCAATATTCCCGCAAACAACGGGATTTAAAATAAAACCCGAGAGCAAATAACAGAACCGCAAAATCAATCGCATTTTGTGGACAGAGCAAACAGAATTTAATATTTAAAGTCCGGAGAAGCGGGATCGCAAGAATGGTATACACGGGAAATTTTTACCTCTAAAACTAATTCTTCCAAACTGTTTGGAATTTGCAATTTTTTACCGGCGTTTCGGGACGTATAAAAAATCGCTCGACAATCACCGAATGAAACGGATTTTTCCGTTCGGTAATTTTTCTTTCGGCGTATCCCCATCGATTGTAGAGACGAGCAAATGCCATATGGTGCAAAAATTTTCTCATCTGAAAGTTTGCACAAAGTATCGTATACGTCGATGGCGGAGGTAATGATTTGAAATAATTGTATGTCACAAACACATATCACTCATTTCATTTTTCTCTTTTCTCCCCCAAATATCTAATATTTCGCTACTATTCATTGTCGATGAAAAAAAAATGGAAGTATTACTGCAGATGTACGAGTCATTTAGTCTTCTTCGCATTAATTTAATTAACCGGGTAATTTGTTATGTTTTATAGGATACCGGTAATATAAAAAATAAATCTATAGGCAATATAGAATCATTTTTAGTGCAAACAAAAGTCACCTCACGTCTTTAAATCGCTCTCCGGAGACTTAAAAAAAATCAATGAAAAAAAAAAAATTCCCATCCGCCTCTATTTACCCAAGAATTCCTTCGTTTCGCCGGATTTATGAAGATAAACAATATTTACGATCCCATTTCGAGGAGATGAAACTAGGCCGTGCGTCTTTCCGGTCGACAATCCAATTGCTTCCGTACACCTGACTCGATTTTTCTATCGACTCTTAAACGCCACCGGGCTCAAAACTGGCGCGGTCGACGAGGATAATTCCGAAGAGCGGCTGCCGAAAGATTCACGGCGGCAATTCGTCGGACGTTTTAATTTTCATTTTCGAGCGTTTTCTTCCGAGAATCTCGCCCATGATTGTTAATTAATTAATAAGTCTGAAGAGGGCGGCGGTCGGCTTGAAGGGGGGCCCGGCGGGCGCTGAAAAGGGTCCCTTCCGCCGCCTCTCCGCCGCCCGCCAGACTTCTTTACGGTGCAATTAGCCGGCGCGTTATTAAGAACTACGCGATACCGGATTACGTAAATATGTCCGAAAAGGGCTCCGATGTTTATGACCGGTCGGGTTTAAACTCCGCTCGAATTATGAAGGGTTTGGAATTCTTTATTTCTGATGCTCGATGTGTAATATTTAAAACGCCCTCTACGCTCGCTCAACTATACGAAATGAAAGCGTTTTAATTAAAACGCATTCATAATTAAGGTTGTTGATGTTCTTATACATCCATCGTGTGGACGATGAAATTAATAATGCATCAATGAATTAATGTTCTGTACTAGTACTGGTACTGGAACTGGTCCAATTCTCTCTACCATTGAACCAATGGACCAATATTTTGTACTAATGGACCAGGATAAGTTTGATATAGGTACTTAAATCAGAATTTGGTGGATGACGCCTCTGAAGTTCAATACGCAATCGGACGATGAAATTAATAATGCATCAATGAATCAATGTTCTGTACTGGTACTGGTACTGGAACTGGTCCAATGCTTTCTACCATTGAACCAATGGACTAATATTCTGTACTAATGGACCAGGATAAGTTTGATGTAGGTACTTAAATCAGAATTTGGTGGACGACGCCTCTGAGGTTCAATAATGTCTCGGCGAGTACCAGAAGGTCGGGCCGGGCGAGGGCAAAGAAACGTGCAGTATGTATGTTTGTTTTTCGCAGGAAATGAGCCGTTCCTTTGGTGCAACCCCGAGGGCTCGTAAAGTCCACTTTACGATGATAATTACGACGGTGCCGCGGTCGGGCCGCTCCAGGACCCTATATAGCGCTCGGTCGACGTTGCAGTTTTATCACCTTTCCGGGGTTATTTATGGTGAGAAAAAAAAAAGAGAGGAGAGGTAATTTCGAATTGATCGTAAGGGAGTTTATCGAAATCTCGGTTTTATTAAATTTAATATCGTGAATAATAACCGTAACGTTTGTAATAACAGCTCGGGAATGTAACGGAGACACGATATCGCCGAAAATGGTACGAATATCACTTTATCTTGATAAAAATCTAAAACACGATCTAACAAATTCGATACGAAAACGAACACCTTTGCCGGAATTTACTCGGATTTTGTACGCTGTATTCGTGCAATAAAATATTCCGAATATAATATGCGTGACAAAAATTCCGCGATTTATGTACTCGTCATGTCTGTTGACTTCGAGAAGGGCATTTTATTTGGGCAATAAAAGAAATTGGACTGTTATGGAACATCATCGGGGAACGCGGTTGATAACTTAATAAAAAAAAGAAACATCCCAGTTCCCATACATCCCGGTTTTAGATGTATTTTTTTTTATTTTCGGCTTAACGCATACCCGCAAATTAAGTCCTTTCGTGTAATTCCCTCCGAATAGGCGTGACCCGGTCGAAGTTTTCTTTATTGTTTCCGATTTAATCAAGTTAGCGTTTTGTTGTGTTTTTTTTTGTATTCGTTTTCATCGCTTAATTTCATTGCCCGGGAATAAGAAAACGTACAAAGCGCGCTTCGATTCTTCCGTCTGTACGGGGAATTCGAAAAGGAATTTAATTTGTTTCACTAATTTCTCCATTTGGAAACGAACGAGAGAGAGTCCGTCGGGGATGTAGTTTTGCATAAATTGAACGTTCCCTTACTTTTATTTTTTTTACAAATAAACCGGGAAGTTAATAAAACCGATACTAAGAGAATTGTTTACCTTTTGCGTGGCAATTAGAATTTTATTAATCGATATCATGCAAATTAATTATATTACATTCAATTCTCTGATGTAGAAGTTTTGAATAATATACCAATAAAAAAAGCCAATCAATTCATCGTTTCACAAGGTATGTAATATTCAAGTAATAACAGGTAATTTATAAACCACATAAGCTATTCTCGACAACATAATATCATGCTATTGACAAGAACAATTTCTCTTCATAAAATGGAAAGATCAATTTCGTAATATAAAAACGTCGACACCTTCGATATATTATTCATACATTATCGAATAATAATTAATGTTGAATAAAACTAATCAGTATCTAGTTTAATTTGATTATAACTCTAACTCAAAAACCGCCCTCTCATTTCCCCTTTCTATCTCCGCCGAGCCTCCCTCGCCGTCCTTTTATATCAAAAATCAGATTTGCAGAAGTGGCTTCCATAATTTACCATGAGCAACACAATTTTCCAACTCGAGATGAAGTGAAGTTATAAATAAGGGAAAGTCGAATGGAAAAGAAGAAGATTAGGGTTTGAAACACTTCTCTTTAGACCGTCAATTACGACCTATTAGAATACATTAAGGAATGCAGGCGCTGCCTATCCCTTTCCTTCGGCGGGAGGATAGGGTTAAAGAAAATTGCTGAAAATTAGCATAAAAATTAAGTTTTTCTTGACGGTTTCGCGAATATGGAAAGCGTTCCGTAATAATCCGTTTAATTTTAACGTCAAATAACCGCCATGTACAAAACCAAATTTATTTTCCTTTCTAATACTTTTCCATTAGAGCCGCTCCGAATCTCCGCCGGGCATAATAAAATCGTAATAATTCCCTTCGACGATCAGTTAAGTGAATCGGACGCAATAAAAAACTATAAACAACACCGAAAACGACATTATTTCGTAGTTATTATAATAATAAATCTTTTGCAAAAGCTAAAAACGAAAAAGAAAAAAAATGATACGCTTCAAGAAACATCTGACTACCATTCAAGAACAGAACCGAATTCAGCACATCCATATATACGACTACGAAAATACTTAGCCCTATAACACATAAAAAAATCTGTACAATAAAATATCACTTATACAGCGAGTAAATAATCCCAAAGAAGATGATGTACAAGTCCATGGGTTTCATAATAATCATCAAAATGCCGGTCCTGCATGCGACTACATCGCTTTTATATCGCTCGGTCTTGTTTCTTTTTCGGTCGGGAGTCGCACATAAATTCCCAGCAAATGGAAATCTTCCCAGAGATTTTTAAGTTGTTCGGAAGTTCCGTATCACTACGTAGAAAACGATTTAGGAATCGAAGACCATTTAATATCCCTACGTCGATAGTTCGAAACGTGAAACGAATGGTCAATGTTCGAAGGAAAATAATACCCTCCATACATCCAGCAGTAATTGG